ACCCATGCGTGTGTGTGCATGCTAAGTTGCTTCAGTGGTGTCCAACCCTGTGTGATCCCATGGACTGTAGCCTGCCAGGCTCCTCTGTCCATGGGATTCTCCAGGCATGAATACTGGAGTGGGTTGCCATGGCCTCCTCTAGGGCATCTTCCTGACCCAGGGATCGAACCCACATCTGTTATATCTGCATTTGCAGGTGGGATCTTTACCACTAGTGCCACCTGGAAGCCCATGAAAACAAATAGTTCAGTTCAATTGATGAGACAGAGAATGGAAATTGGGAGGGTCTGTATATGGCCTTGTCATAGGTAAAGAAGGGGGCCAGCCCAGGTCTTACCTACATCCTATGGGAATAGACATTCTTTACAATAAGTCATTTCCTGGAACACAAAAGGGTTGAGGGATTTCTTTCTTTTTTTTCCCAGCTTTATTGAAATATAATTGACATTAAACATTGAATAAGTTTATAAAGTGTGCAACATTTTGATTTGGTACACCTATATATTGCAAAATGATGACACCACAGCTTTAGCCAACTCCTCTATCCTGTCACATGATTACTAATTACTCTGTTTTTCAGATTTATTTATTTGGCTGTGGTGGGTCTTCATTGGTACATGCGGGCTTTCCCTAGTTTCAGTGACCCAGGGGCTACTCTTCATTGCGGTGCACGGGCTTCTCACTGCAGTTACTCCTCTTGCTGCAGAGCACAGGCTCTAGGCACATGGGCTTCAGCATTTGCAGTGAACGGGCTGAGTAGTTTCGGCTCCCGACCTTTGTTACTCGAAGGCATGTGGCATCTTCCCAGACCAGTGTCTCTTGCATTGCAAGGTGGATTCTTAACCACTAAACCACCGAGGAAGCCCCTACCATTTCTTTTTTATGGTGAGAACATTTAAGATCTGCTCTCAGCACCTTTCAAGTCGATACAGTATTATGCTCACACAATTCTATCGGCATTATTGGCTATAATCACCATGTTGTATGTTAGATCCCAGAACTCATTGTTCTTAAAACTGGAAGTGTATATACTTTGTGGGACCATTGTATGATGTGTGGAGGTTCTTGGGCATGTTATAAGAAATGGAGTATTAACCACTGGACCACCAGGGAAGTCCCTGTAAAATCTTTTGATACAATCTCAATAGAGCCTTGGATGTCACCTTCCTTTCTTTATTTTTTGTTTCAGTCGAGTGCCATTTTGCAAGGCGTGTGTATGGGAGTCACTTACTTCTCTCCTCCCCATTATTGTGTTATCTTTAGCATAAGGAACAGCCTCTCTGGATACAAGAGACCATTAATCAGCTTATCCAGCTGTTTAGTGATCACATAGCTTGGGTAAGGCTTTGGTCGCTGTTCTTCATGACCTGCCTCATCCTTAAGGAGCAGAGTTTTAGATTCTTTTTTAGGCCCACTGTGTGTTGTCATATAAGAATGAGACAAGCCATATGTTTTGCCATTGCTACGCCCATTTCTTCACTTGAGATGCCCCTCTCTCCACATAATTGAATTCTGTGCAACTTTCAAGGCTCAACTCAACTGCCATGTATGTCTTTAAATTTTCTCTAATCAGCCCAGACAATAGGAGTCCAGCTTCTCTGAAATTCTTTCCCTTTCAAAGTTTAGTTGTTCTTTTTTGTGCTGTGGGTTTTATCAGTTACATGTTTATATATACATCCCAGACTCAAAAGATTATGAGTTGACTGAGTTGGTTGATTACAGTCTGGTCCAGATTGATATCACTGGGAATGAATGAAGAGGAAGAGACGGAAGATTGGTTGAATATGTGGTGGTTGAGGGAGAAGGTTGATGCTACTATTTCAAGCTTGGTAGCCTCACTGACAGAAATAAATCAAGGCCTCTCTTCTGAGGTAGATTATCCACCTTTTGTTGGCTAGTATAGAAGAAGTACTCAGTTAATCCTCATTGAGGCTAACTGAATTCACTTCATTTGGAACCTTTTCTGTATCCTTCTGATATTTGTTCAAAGTCTGTGTGGTGCTCGCCACGCCATTCTTCTGTTTGGGCTTGTCCTTGACAGATATTGCAAGGAATGGGATCCATGTAAGTCTGTCATGCCGTGGCCCCTCTTCTCCATCTGTATCCTCTGTGGATAAATTGTGCTCACATCCACACCCTCTGTCCTGCGGCACCTCTCCATACCCCAGCTTCCTCTCTCCCCGCTGCTATCCCTGTGTTCATTTCTGCCCTAGGCTAAAATAGGGGAGAGAAAGGCATCTGGCCCCATGAACAGTGGAGTATTGCATCTTGCCTTGTTCCAACAGCAATAGGAACATCCCAAAATGATGTCTTCCTAATGGGGGATTTCAAGCAGCCTCAGAGTGGAAGCCTAAAGGAAGGGCATTTTTTAAGGGCAAGATAGTAAATATTTTAGTCTTTACAAGTCCTTTTCACAGCTACTGCACTAGGCTGCTCTAGTTAGAAATATGTAAATGAATCATCAGGACTTGTATCCCAATAATGTTTTATTTCGAAAAATAGAGAGCAAGCCATGTTTAGCCCACAGACTATGGTCTACTGAACTCTGGCCCATAGTCTTACTTTATGACATTCCACTGTTCCTGAAATCTAACACAAAATCAGTGGCCATTTCCTTTCATCTATCTATCTATCTACTTATCTATCAACCCATCTATCCATCTATCTTGCATTTCCATGACAGGAAATTCTGTGATGTGCAAGGAAAAGGCAAGGAAGTATGCCTTTCCACTGAGAATCTTGGTTGTGAACGTTTTAAGTGCTACCATGGAAGAGATGCCTTCCAGAAGCTTCAGGGGTTGGTGAGCTCTAGACATAGAATTGGAACAGGGAAATAGGAGTAGCTGTCAGATTCCATTCTTGGAAACCTGCTCATTTTATGCAGTAAGTTTTATGCTGCAAAAGAAATTTAACAAACTTATGGGTACCAGAGGGGAAATGTGGTGGTGGGAGGGATAAATCAGGAACTCGGGATGAACATACACACACTACTACCTAGAAGATAGATAAACCAACAAGGACCTACTGTATAGGACAGGGTACTATACTCAATATTCTGTGATAACCCATATGAGAAAAGAGTCTAAAAAGATGAACGTCTATATACACACATATATAAGTTCATCACTTTGCAGTACATGTGAAACTAAAGTGAAAGTGTTAGTTGCTAACAAGGAGCGCTAACACCAAAGGCCAGCAACTCAGCCCTGCAGAGGGACAGAGTTTGCTGGAGAAGCAGGAGGCCCGCTGTGTGTGGCTTTGTTTTGGGGGGCTGGGCATCAGACCTGTGGAATCCAGACCTGGGAAAAGCACGTGATCAAAGGGAGTCAGGGCACATGGTGTCCAGGTAGGGACAGCAGCTAGTCATCTCCAGGGTGGGCCAGGCCAGAACTGGGAAGTCTCAGGGATCTTACATTCTGGTTCCATGTTTGGGTTTGTGAACCTCCTAGATTCTCCCACATCACAGCTCACAGTGCTAACCCCCATTGACAACTGGAAATGGCAAGAGAACTTCTTTCACCCTCTACTGAGAAAGCTCAACCTGTGTTTACTGTAAAGGAAAAATGCCTGAAGGAATTCTGCCCACTGTCACAGGTCAGGTACTGAAGGGTGAATCGGGCTGAGGCAGTGTGTTGTTAACCGGCACCGCCCATGTCTTTGGTTACTCAGCTTCCCTATGTACCCCCATGTACATTTGAACTTTTTACAGCAGCAGAAGGATCCCATGTTTCTACCTGATAGATACATCAGTCCTTTTATGTGTTCACCATTCCCCCCAAATTAGATGACTCAGCCCCAAGTCATTGCATCCAACATGGGATCTGTTAATTATCCCTCCAATTCAGTCAGGCGGTCACTGAATATTGTTACCTTTAAAAACTAAGTTGTAAAATTAACTTCCAATAACTTGTATATAAAAATAAAAATAGGAAGCAGGATAGAGAAAAAGAAAATTGTTGAGTATATACAAACAGACACACTCATATAGTAGACATAGAGAAAATATGCAAAGCTACTATAGACATTGTTTCTGTAACTGGTCTCAAGATTTTTGCTTAATTATGGATTACAATTTTACTTCATCCTTGGTTAAAACCTGAGATGCTTTCGGTTCTTCACCTGGTGGTGTTACTAAAACTATCTCCCAGCGGTCTGTGTCTTGAAGCATTCTACTCTTTGTCGTTGTGTTTTCCATTACCTTCTACTATTGTGTGGTGGCAAGAGTAAGGGTCCCCCAAAGATGTCCACATCCTAATGCTTAGAACCTGTGACAATACTGTTAGGAGATAAATGGGAATTAAGGGTGCTAATCAGCTGACCTTCAGATAGGGAGATTATGTTGAATTATCTTGACTTAGTCTCACCATGATTCTTAAAAGTGGCAAAGGAATGTAGGCGAACCAGAGATGGCAGTGTGAGGACTCAGTGCAGCATTGTGGGCTGTGAAGGTAGAGGAATGAAGCCATGAGTCAAGAAATGCGGGTAGCCTCCAGAAGCTGAGAAAGAAGATAGACTGTCCCCTTAGAGGATCTGGAAGGATTGTAGACCTGCCAACATCTTGATTTTAGCCCAGTGATGCCTCTATTGGACTCCTGACTGCCAGAATTCTAAGATAATAAATTTGTGTTGCTTTAAGCCATTTAGTTTTGGTTTGTAGTAATTTAAATTTTTTAAAATGTATTTTTAGCTGTGCTGGGTCTTCGTTACTACACTTTTCTCTAGTTGTGGGGAGCAGGAGCTACTCTTCTCTTGTTGTGGAACATGGGTTCTAGAACACAAGCTCAATAATTGTGGCACACAGGCTTAGTTGCTCCATAGCATGTGGGATCTTCCCAGACCAGGGATCAAACTCATGTCCCTTGCATCGGCAGGCAGATTCCTACCACTGTACTAACAGGGAAGCCTTGTGGTTAATTTTTTAAAGAAGCAGTAGAAAACTAATAAAGAGTGTCAAAGAAAGTTTTTATATCCACAGATTATCCAGAAACCTGATCTGTAAAATAGAGAACCAATTAAAATCCATAATAAGTAGCCACTGAGTCACTTAAGAATTTTTAATTTTTATTTGAAATAACAGTGTAATAGGTAGACAGTGTACAGCCACTCATTGTGCACCAAGAATTTCTTCTCACAGAACAGTGATGGACTCCACCCAAACTATCTGTCCCAGAGGACAGAGCCTCGCTCTCATGGATGCCACAGCCTTCTTCGCCTTTTCATTCGCCCTGCATCCGCAAGTGCTACAAGCTGAAGAGCAGCATGTGCAGAATGTGCAATGCTCTATACTCCACACCAACAATCTTTAATCGCTTAAAACTACTAGCATCTTCATTCTCCTTTCAAAAGAAAATTACTTTCCCTCACTCTTTCCTAAACTCTTGCTTTGATGCCAACAAAAATAGGTTCAGATTTAACTATTTTATTAGAAGCAAAAAATCTGAAATTGGGAAAACAGAGTGTCACTCTCTTCCTCTAAATCTAATTCCTCTAAATTCATCCTTCAACTGCTCCCGCTGCTGAGGTGCTACACAAGTTGAAGAAATCTCATTGTTGTGTCTTCAACACCTTCCACAGAGATAATTAATTCAACCTAGGAAACATCCCCCCGCCAACCTCAGCAATCTTTAGCTTCCACTCAGACCTCTTTTTAGACACAGTGTTCTGAGCAAACTTATTTTCCCAAACTTTAGAATCTGGTTTTTCTCTCAGAGGCCAGTTTTAAACTTTCTCACACCATTGAATTCTCATTCACCTCTTTTAAGGACCTCCAGAATGGACAGCATCAACATGCTCTTGGATTAATATAGCCATACTAGAACCATATCCCATCCACAAGGGGGGCTCACCCATGCTGGAAAAGGTGGGACTGAAAGTTCAATCCTTTTATATGATGTAAGAAAGTCTCTCAGTACAAATCATTTGTTAATAGCAAAGGTACAAGGCATTACCCGTTCACTGCCTCAAAGATGGCAAAAACCTAAGTTACAGAGATGGCACGAGCTTAATATCAGAATTACTAAATCCCTGAATTACATGGCACTTCAACAGAATATGACCACCTCAGGATCCATGAGGCGTTTACCCAGAAGCAGATCATATCCAGGCACAGGTTTTTTGACAGTGTATCAAATCAGTAACAAGACTTTGAAATCCTACAAGTACATTTTAAAGCATGTATGAAAAAAAATAAAGCATGTATGGTTTACTCATTGAGGAATAAGGCCACCATACTATAAAGTAAGTAAAAGAAATCTGGAATTAGTTTTATAAAGTTGAATGAAGCTTGGTCAAGACTTCAGGTAAAGTTCTGGTCATCAATATTCCTTTTAGGCAGTACAAGTGTCCCTCTGAAGAAAATGGCATGGTGGTCTGAGATAATCAAGAACACTGTGCCAGCAGACAAACAGGAAAACGTGTTGAATTTCTTGTGGGCAAATCAACTTCTCCATTCTCAGGGTTTAAGCTTGATGGTATATAGCCCTTTTGGCATTAAGGCAAAGTTAAGCAAACAATCTGTAGACTTGATATGGTGTTCAGTCTCATCTATGGATGCCCAGGAGGATGCACAAACTACAGGCTTCATTTAGAATTTATTGCCAGGGCCCTAGCAACTATTGTTTTATTGCCAGGACTTCAGCAACTAGTTTTTTCATTGGTTTCGCCAGAACTTCAGAAACTGCTTTTTCCCATCAAACTGCTGAATCTGATCAGCAGAAGAGTAATTCTGTGTCTTTTGATGTTAATATTAATACACTTACAATGGAAAGGTATGAATGAATGTAAGAAAAAATGTGATCAAACTCCTTTACAAAATATAAACAATTCAAATATACAACAGGAAAATACACCAAGATACTCTACACACTATGGACGTGATTCTCCAACTTTCTGGAAGCTCGCCATCAAACTGCCACCTCTCTCCTCAGTTTTGGAATTAGTGGGTCCATGGTGGAATCAAGAAACCGCATTTCTCACAAGTCCTTCCATGTTCCTTATAGTACTGGTGTGAGGACCACACTCAAAATTCACTGCATTAGTAGAATATGGAAAGCACAGTTCTAGTCTGGTAGGGGAGATGAATATTTTTCAGCCAGAACTGTAGGCTAAGGTATCTCTATCAGGGTTAGAACAAAGATTTATTTTCAAGTAAGTGTTTCTGCTTGAACTTTGGTCCTGGATGCTAGTTGCTCCTTTGTGCTTGGCTAGAGTTGAAAGTTTTCCTTCCATAGAGAAAGTGATAGCCAGAGAGGCAGTCAAGCAGATTTGTGCAATTTAAGTCTGTTTTTCTTCCTACTCTTGAGAGGTCTCCCCTGCCTCTGTGCTTTAAGGTGGGGAGCTCTCCCTTTCCAACAGCTCTTCAAAGATCTCATTATGCATGTAAAAGAAAACATACCCAGAGGAAAGTCTAGCGTTTTGCATTGTGGCTTCTTCGATATTTGACACCTTCAAATCATTGAAAGTGAACCACTCCTGCCTCACAAAGTCGAAGGCATCGCAGATATAGTGGCCTGAATCTACGCTCTTCCCAAGATGGCTGAGAACACCAATGAGCCGGTAGGCCTGAGGATCTTCCATCTCAGCTTCTCCTTTTGGTTTCTTGGATGCAGTTTCTGTCTTTTCTCTACCTAAATAGCCCTTTTTTCCAGACCTTTTTTTGAGACCCGATGCACCTGGGGAATTCATCTTGGTTCCCTGGACGCCTGATTCCTTTGGTCTGAGTTTCTCTGTGCACTTTTGCTTTCGAATCTTTGGCTTTGGAAAGCTTTGAAGCAGTGCCAGCCAAAGGGCTTGTTCATAGATTTTCATCCTTTCTTCATGTGGGGTCTGTTCAGCCACTAGGGAAAATTCTTCTGAAATTTTGGCTTTTTCATCGTTATCTTCGGTGGTCTTCTCCACAGCCTGAAAATCTGCAAAGATATTGATTCTCTCGTCCTCTAGTTTTGGATTTTCAGGCACTTTCTGACATATATCTGGGTTGCTGATGGTTATATCTCTCAGAGAAAATGAGCCATCTTCCATATTCATCGTTAAGGCCATTGCTAACAGCTCTCTTGCAACGATTATTGCATCTTCTGAGTCTGCCCATGCGGAATCTAGTATCTTTAGTACAGAGTATTTTCCGTGGTCTTTTTGTTTCTCTTCTTCTCTTGAACCTTCATGAGGATCATCATCTTTTTGTGGTTCGGACTCTTCGTCTGGTACAATGTGTGAAGGCAAAGAATTCATGAATTCCAAGGCCATCTTTGCTGAAGGTCTCAACTTACTGATAGCTGTAGAATTTATGTTTCGAAAGATTTTTAAAACTTTGAGATTCGTAAGATGTGTTTTCTTGTTTAAAGGAAATGGTGGTCTGGTATCTTCATTGCAAAGGGAAGATATCTTTAAATTTTTGGAAATAATGACTTCATGGTAAGCCTTCTTGAAGGACCGAAACTCAAGAAAGTTATAGCGCTTCAGATGAACAATAAGGACCCTAGGTAGCCTACTGAATTTATACATTTTAGAAGATGTCCTGTGTTTACACTGTTCACATGTATACTCAAGATTTTCTGTTCCAAAGAAAAGATCAAAACTAGACTGAATAGAAAAGGGAAGTCCTTGCTGTTCTTGGGGAAGACTGATGGAGAGGTGATTACTCAGTTCTGTCTTAGGAACAACATGCCCACAGGCTTTACAAGTAATGGAGCACAGCAACTCAAACTCGAAATTAGTGCTGACAGGACAAAAGAGCGCTTCCTTGGCTGCACTGCCAACCAAAGATGGTTGAGGTAAATTTTCTTCCTCAGATTTAACTTCAGTCTTTCCAATTGTGCTTAATTTTTGCATGTTTTCTTTCATCTTATTTAAATAATGACCTAAAAACTCATGGGCATCATTCTGCTTGTTGCCAGAGAATATCTCTGCAACTGCTGAAATGGTATTTTTCATATTTTCAAGTAACTTCTTTTTGATATTTACGTTATAAATATCTTTCAAGACAAACAGCTGTGCCAAGTACATGCTAAGTGCATCAGGGGGAATTTTACACCATGGGAAACTCCGACTGAGTAAATCATCAGCAAATGATGGAATCAAAAATAAAGACTGTATAACTGCATTCATGTAACAGGTATTTCCCAAATTGGGGAGGCCTTGCCATAGTTTCTCTGGGTAGTAGTCAAGAGTCAGTTTGAGTCTGTCACAAAATGGGTCATTCTTATCATGCTTTGCTTGTGACAGAAATGTGAAATATATATTCTCAGATAGTTTTGGGAAAAGATTAGTGCCATGTAGGTGAGGACTGTTCTTATATAAAAATTCTAAATCTAATTTATTCTGTTTTAACCCTTTTAACTTCAGTTCCTTCTTCTCACTGTGGCTTACATATCTTAATGGGTGTGTCTTGGATCTCCTCGTTCTCACAGAGCTACTCTCCTTTTGGGAATCCAATGAGGGCTTCTTCATTCTCTTCCCATATCCATCTTCTAATAACTGTTCATAGATAGATGTTGGTGATTCTGATGCAGATGAACGTGAACGCTTTTTTTCTTTCTTAAAAGACCGACTACCTGACTTCTTACCCACTTTTTGAGATGAAGGTTCATCAACTGTCTTCTGTACTGTTGTGCTGGCAAAGGCACTGCTATCCACATCAGGTCTTATGGGTGGTGGAAGATCATCTTGATGGACTCTATCCAGGAATGCCTTCAAATTTTTGATATCTGTAGAGGATGTTCTTTGTATAAACAAGAAGCTATTATCTTGGAAAGTTAAATACATGTGATTCACTTTTTCTCCACAGGATTTCATGATCACGCTTTTAATATTATTATTTAGTTCAAAAGTTGTGCTTTTTCCATTAACGAAACAGACCACCAATCTAGTTTTCTTCTTTCCCACTACTTTTACAATTGCTTCCTTTGGCTTACACATCCCCTTCTTCCTGGTCCATATTTGGACAAAACCATGTGCTACCACAGGAACCATGATTTTTCTACAAATAAAATACACCTATCTTGAATTATTGACAATCTTAAAGTTCCAATATGTTGGCAAGTTCGCCTCTGGAGACAACACCAAAGAAATAGTTCTTTAGTTCTGATCCTGTTTCAAGTGTTTAACCTAGAGTCTCTTCGGGCTCTGGATAATCCAGCTCTCTAGTGATAAGACCAGTATGCTTCAAGAGCTATCCACGGTTGCATGAGGGCAGAGTCTTGATTCCCAAAGCAAGGCCTCTATGGAAAAATAAATCAAGAAAAATTATTTGAGTTATCAGAGAAATGCTTGGATAGAATTCAAACCTTACTCTCACAGTAAATCTCTTTTCCACTGCAATACTAGATTCTATCCTGATTAATTTCCACACTTCAACTGAAATCATTAAACACTTGGAAGACTTTCAGTACATAGCTGAAAGGCATAATGAACAGTGTCTCAAGTGTATGTATATGATATGCTAATCCCCCTGTAACAGAATGACCCCACAGGCCAACCACAATAAGTGAATAAGAAAGTGAGAGGCCCTGCGCAGCCCTCAACCCAATAACAGATGGACAGTTGAATCTACTTCCTTCCAAATCCTGTTATGTTCCTTTCTCACATGTAGCACCAGAGTAAGTCCATACATTCTACCCCATGTAGGGTGGGGGCCTAACTACCACTGCTTACAGCAGGTGTCAAAGAATTGACTAACTCCAGCTCTGGCCACAGGGTCCACATAACTTTAGCTAGCTCCCTGTACTCAAAACCAGCCGGGAAGGATTAGATGTACTTATTCACTCAAAAATTTAAATTTCTGAATAACTCTGTAGTGAACCAATCTGAATTAATGAGTAGCTCAGCACTTAGCACTACAAATGTTTTTTATCAGAAAGCATATGTCCAAGAATTGATTGGAAATTATGTTTTCTCCCTACATAGTTAAATATTATTCCTGAATCTTGTCTATGTTATTAACTTGCTCAACAAACCCTATCTTTATGAATAATACTAAACGAACCTTCTGCTTGATTCCTATCCAAATTATCAAAAACTCAAAATTGGTGAAGCATACATTAATGAGGTTTTTGTTTTATCAAGTATTTTATCTATCAACCTACGTTTACTAAAGTAGGGATTGCACTCATCCATATACAAAAGTGCATATGAATCCAAGTGAGAATGATTATGTTTATCATGGTGGAAATGGGGCCATAAAAACTCTGAAGCACAACTGCAAATTCAAGTGCTTGGATTATTTATAGTTCACTGTCCTACTATTGGTGCTAAGTAAGAGTTTAAACTATTCCTCTCCACAAAAAGTCTTAATTGCTCCTATTTCAACCACTTGAGAGAAACTACAACCCCAGAACCACTTCTAGTTTGCATTTCAAAATGCTGTGATCCCAGTTGATCTGTATTTATCAAAAATGGTTATTCATTCTTTCACATGATAGCCAAGATAATCTAGACTCTCATGGCATTTCCACTCTTTGCTTTCAGAAACACAGTGTAGAGATGTGTTTCCAAAACAATGGCTCTACTTGTCATACTTCTTCCCAGTCCAACTTGCTTCCATTTCATTCCCAAATAAAGGAGACTTCTTTGAGTCCACCGAGCACTGGAAATGAAGATTAAGGACTGTGTTGCTGATACAGTTTAATGGTCGCTGCTCACTTCCTAGCACATCTTTAGCTTAAATCTCCTTTCTCGATTCTGCCTCATTACTCAAAGGCTTTTAGGGTTTCTGATTGGTAGGTTTGGGGGAAGATTTTAAACTAAAATGTATCAATTCTTTAAAACTCATCTGGAGAGAACTTTGTGACTATTCTATACAGCCTAAAGTAAACTTCAGCAGTATGATACTCTTCCTCCTTTGCCAGCCCCTCATCAAATTCAAAACATATGGATGACAACTACATTTAAAAGTTACTAAAGTCAAGGTGCTTTTCTCTCATTTTGGTCCACAAACTCAGTACTCTAAGTTTGATTAATCTACTAGTGCAACACACTGGGCTAGCAGCTGATCTCAAAGTATAGCCAGAAACTCATAAAGTTGCACTACTCCTATCATATTTGGAGACATGGCCTACAGTGTCAAGAACTTGATCCAAAGGTAGAAATACTCCAGGTAGAAATGTCTGCTTTGTTGTCACTCTACTAATTCACTTTACATTGATCTTCTTGGTCACTGAGTATTTGCTAAGCACCTGTCTTATGCTGATTATGAGCTCCTGAGTGTCTGCTTCATGCCAAGTACTGGGTCAGTGTTCTCAGGGACAAAATGATGCGAACACTCACTGTCACTAAACATCTTAGACTCCAAACATCACTGCGTAAACATCACAGTTAAAGGGGCCTTGCTTCCAGTGGGAGAATCTGGGGAAATATCCTTTCACTGCCATTTTCTTGAGCTTAACACATACCACAGGTGGGAGCTGTATTTTGTAAAAGAGATCACCTGGACTGAGATTTCTCAAGCCCTACCCACAACTCTGCAAAATGATGAGGCTCAACCTACTGTTTTGCAGAGCAAATAAGAAACTGGTCCTTGGGGAGAATGCCTGCAAACTTGAAAACCTGGAAACTCAGGTTACTCATTCTACAGTAAGATAACATAATGAGGACTTGTGAGGCTTTTAGAGTATTTACCCTCTGTATCCCTTGTTCCCACCATTCATGCTGTCATTATTTCAAGAATTCGAAGTGAGAGAACAAAGCCAAACCTGGCATGTGGGGAGAAATCCTGCCCAGTTACTCAAGCAAGCCTTAATGGATAGAAATGACGCAGGACCCATGAGGTGGTACGCTAGGCACTGAATGCACTAAGCAGGGAAGATGGGGCCGGGTACCACCAGAGGTTTCCAGTGACTCCTAGGTATCTCCACAAAGCCCGACCAGGGGCTTAAAACACCCAACAATTTCAACTCACACTTACTTTAAACTAAACATAGCTTAGTGTCCTAGGATAAGCCAAACACACTATCAGGGCCAGTAAGATAACTGAAAAATGATCATCTTTTTCCTTTGAAGACTCTATGCTATAAGACTATGATTCTAGGTAGAATATACTTAATAAGCACATTGAATTTCCCAGGACAGTGCAAAATAAACGGTATTTCCCCCACTAATGAGATGACATGTTTTAATCTGGGCTTAGCAACCATGGTCACCATACAAAAAAACATGGTTATGAATATGTTGGTTTTGGCAAATGGGAAGAGGGGATTTTCAAAACCCAACAGACATTCATTATTCATTCATTCCTGAAACAAACTTGTATGGCACATTAGCAAGCATTGGATTAAGCACTAGCTATAGAAGAATGGGAAAAAAAAAACCCCAAGATTTCATAAAACTTTCATTCTAGCAGAGGGATAATAATATACAAACATAAAATACACAGAATACCAGATGGTGGTAACTGTCGAAGAAAACATAAAGTTAAGAGGACAGGGTGTGCCCCAGGCTTGATGGGGATGTACTTGCTGCCTTCCCTAGAGTGGCCCGAGAAGGCCGGACTGATAAGCGTGACATCACATAGCAAGGCCTTGCAGGAAGTGAGGAAGCAAACACTTAGATGCAGGGTGCTCCAGGCCCTCAGGTGTGCTTAACACACTATAAACAGAAAGCAGATCAGCATGGCTGGAGATCAGTAAAGAAACTTCAAGATAGAAGAGAAAGAAGGTGCAAACGTTTTGTAAACAAGCAAACCAAAAGAGTGAGTGGACTGGTAAACTTGCTGAGCAGCACAAAGGGTCCACCTTCAGGCTAGTGGTTGTGAATTTACAGCAAAACCAATGGGTGTGTTTGAGTTTTTCTGCAGCTATACCTAGCTGTCCGGCTGCCACGATGCAGATGTGTAATAGACAGAGTTATGAATTTAACTTTGCTCAAGATTTTGCCATTAATAACCAAGTAAGAAGGAAATAACTAACCTAGACAGCTTATTAAAAAGCAGAGACATTACTTTGCCAACAAAGGTCTGTCTAGTCAAAGCTATGATTTTTCCAGTAGTCATGTATGGATATGAGAGTTGAACCATAAAGAAAGCTGAGCGCTGAAGAATTGATGCTTTTGAACTGTGGTGTTGGAGAAGACTCTTGAGAGTCCCTTGGACTGCAAGGAGATCCAACCAGTCCATCCTAAAGGAGATCAGTTCCGAATATTCATCGGAAGGACTGATGTTGAAGCTGAAACTCCAATACTGTGGCCACCTAATGCCAAGAACTGACTCATTTGAAAAGACCCTGATGCTGGGAAACACTGAAGGCGGGAGGAGAAGGGGACGACAGAGGATGAGATGGTTGGATGGCATCACCAACTCAATGGACATGAGTTTGAGTAAACTCCAGGAGATGGTGATGGACAGGGAGGCCTGGCGCGCTGCAGTCCATGGGGTCGCAAAGAGTCAGACACAACTGAGCGACTGAACTGAACTGAACTGAAGAAGGAAAAGTCAGGTGTCAGAAAGGAATGATTATAAATATGGACTAGAAAGGGTGAAATGGGAGTGGAGAACAGAAACATGGAGACATAGCCTAAATCTCAGGAGATAGTGGGTGTGGGGCTGGGGGTGGGGTGGAAGCATCAGGGGACCAGTTCAGCCCCCACTTCTGTAGCTGTACTTCTGCCCCGGGCTTCTGAGCAGCTGTCAACTGCCTGTAGACTTCCTTCTCAAATTCTACTGCCTTCTTCCTTTCGGTTCTTCCATTCTTTCTCCCTTGGCCCCAAAGCTGGAAGTAACGAATGGGAATGGGGGTGGAGAGATGAAAGTTAGGAGTGTGTGGACAGGGTTAGAGGCAGGCAGGATCAGATGGGGGAGGGGGAAGGGAAAACCAGCCCCTCTCTTTTTTCAACTTCCCAAGTCTGGGTTAAAGGTCAACACATCAAGAGGCGCACGGCCTCTAGGGCATTAGCAATTAAATCCTGTCATTATGTTTGGCCCCAGCTTCAGTGCACATGGCTTTTCAAAATGATTGGATCAGGGCAGACTGCTTCTTTCTCTGGTTTAAAGATGCATTTCTGCACTCAGCAAATGTCCGAGTCATTGTACAGCAAAGAAATGCCATTATTTTGCCTCTTGACATACACTGCACATAAATCTCTCCATAGGAGGCCGGGACCAAAATGGGAAGAAATCTCCACTAGCAAATTGTTCCCATCAACTACTCAAGCTTTGAACCTTTTCTCAGAGACAGGTTTAGCAGAGCTTTTTGTTGTTGTTTTTCATTCTTTTAAAATGATTATGCTAGTG